TACTGTACACAACATCAGTAATAAACATTTGAAGCGATGCAACTATAAAATTTGCTGGTCAAACGTTATACGAAATTTTATAAAAGTCAGCTTTCATCGATTTAAAAAAAATTGTGTCACTTTCTAGCACGTGTAGCTCAGCTTTTTTAACAGTTTGAGTGTTTTTACTGGGCTAAAATGAAAGCTGGGATCAAGACCTATTGAATAAAAAAAAATTTTGTTTGATTTTATGCCTCCATTCAAAAGTTACAGCTGTTTCAATTAGAACGTAAATATCGCTAACAATGTGATTTTGGCTAAAATTCAGTATTTTCCATAAAATCATTATAACTTTTCATTCAGGTGGCATAAAAAGATTTTTATTTTAATTATTAGGACTATGTTTTTACTTTCATTTTAGCCCTGGTAAAGCCACCTATTGGAGTGTATACCACTTGGCTGCCAACGTTGAAAGCAGCAGCACCGTTTTTGCATTTATGTAGCGAAAAAGGGCCAATTAGACGAAACCCCAAAACATATGTCTCGTCTTTTAGCCCAACAGTGATGAAAATAAAGTTTGCGTACCTGCACATGCACACTGAGTGGTTGTTTCATCGGGGGTTAGAACGAAATGAAATGTTTGTACACGCGAAATACGCAAAAAAAAAAGAGCTTGGCTATTCGAGAGGTAACAATTTCAGGTACTACTGTCGTAAGGATTTATTCATTTTAGTCCTACACTTTGAAAAGTGATCATTGGTTATTGGTTAGCATTTCCAATCCAAAAAGTTACTAGTTTGAATTGATTTTTGTTAAAACCGCGATTATGATGCAAATATGCGGACAAAATGTATACAGTGAAAACTCACTCGTGTTTGTCGATTTTTTGGGTGACTAAGGTACAAATCTAATCACCAATAGCTAAAGTATACAATGCTTACACGCCCAAGTGGCATATAAGCCTTATTGTTTACCGGTCAAAGCTTTCATGAGTGAAATTGAGTTGCGGACATGGGTCTGAATGGAAAATTTTAATCTAAATGATTGATTATCTCAATGAAGAGATCATTATATTAGTATAAGATAATACGTCAATAATAAAGTCGACAATATTTAACAAAATTTGACGTTTTTAAAGTTTTGGATTTCATTATGGCACGTGAGTATGAGTAAAAGACACGATTTGAGCACGTTACAGCAGAATCACCCATATACTAGCAGCCCCCATCTGCTTCGCCCAAGCTTCTGCTATTTCTGACACTTTTCAAAACAAAGATGTTCTTATTAAAAACATGTTTGCTTGGAATCCATACAGTTTATTAAGTCAAATAATAAGCTGTAAAAAAATGAAAAAAAAATATAATCATGCTTAAAAGTACCATGCGTTTTTTATGCCATAATATAATCGTTGGCCCTAAAGGGCCGTTGATTTGCAGTTAATCCCGTATACAGGGCTATTTTTTAAAGCTGTAAGGATTTAAAACTCACAAAAAATATGTAATTAAAAAAAAATTTTCTTCTCTATCTCACAACTTTATTACCACAGCAAGAGAGTTCAGGAGCTTAATCTCTACATTTTTTATCGACACTAAAATACAAATACATAGCCTACCTATAAAAAAATTTGGAAGATTCAAGATATTGCTATGAGGGTTATACTGAAAAGCTGATCTCTTACTTAATGAATTCTTTATTTATCAATTTTGATGCTACTTTAATCTCGATAAATGTTCAGCGACATTTTCTTGACGCCTAAAATTGTATTTATTACGTACATTTGAAGTTTTCCTTCCAATTCAACTTCTTGCGACTTCCCAGCAAATGTCATTGCCTCTTTACGTCAGGGTGATCTTCTCTGGTCAGTTACTGTAGCACCACACTGATCAGGAGGAAAACTGCAACGTTTAAAGCTTTGGAGCTGATTGTAGAGCTCTCTCCCAACGTCTCCTGGAACAACGTCAAAGACGTTGGTGTCTAAAGCACCTTCTTTTTTAACAGATTCAGTTGTTTTGGTGATCTAAGATGGATAAGAGATTGGTTTATGATGCTTGCTCGTTGGAGACTGCCCTGTTGGCTCAAGTTCATTTTTCTTTCATAGCTGTTAGGCTCTCCCAGCGCAGGCCTTGGGGAGGATCGATGATTCCTAGTTGAATGCTTAGAATCAAGAGGGTAATGTAGGGTCGTCAGTCACCGGGGTTCCCAGCCTTGCGACGAACAACTCCGCTCGTGACGTCTGTCATTGAATGACTGACTTGGTTTAGAAGTGGCCGGCTTTACAAAGTCTTTTGGTCAACAAATCGTTCTCGGAAATGGTAGTAAAAATGTATTTGTTGGCAAAGTAGCTTAAACTTAGGGGCCCTTAAAAGAACCGATGAGATTAATGGTTAAGAAGGGAACGTAAATACTTATAATGGTCCTGAAAAGGGCTAGTGGTGAAATATCTAGTTATTCATTATTATTATTCTTGATGATGGAGAGCCGACTGCGGGTAGCTTGACTCTTATCCTTAAAGTATCTTGTACGGATACCATACTGAAGGGAGGTACGCCGCTGACCAAAGAACATCTCGTCTTCAGGTCGTTCCCCGGATAACTAACCACTCATCGTTAGTCGAGAAAGTGAGCATGGAGGATACCTTCTCTGTAGGTATGCCGTTGAGATGACCACTAAGGAGGTCGTTGTGGCTGCTCGTACTCTTCAGGGCTGTCTTTCGTGGGCTTACATTTGAAGTAGAAAATATCTGACGACACCAGGCTGCATATTTAAACGGCCACGGAATTCTGAGGTGTCGGAGCAGGTTGTGCTCTGGCTAGATACGTCTCCTGGTATTTCGCCGGAGATGTTGACATTTCGAACGTCTATTTTTCCCTGGCTCTCGGTTATCTTGGCGATCCGGGGTTACAAGCGATTTATTTCACTTGCCCGTGAAAGAAGAGTGTTATCTGTACCACGATGTCTAGCTGCAGGACTAACAACTATGCTCTTGGTGTACTGCTGATAAACTACTAGGATAATCAACAATTTGATGGGGCATCTTATAACTACTTTTTACTATCTTTGATTGCAAGTGGCTTCAATTTTACCTCGACGCCACCTACCAGATCCTACTGAACCTCATTGTGAAGCTAGCTCATTATAGCAAAAATTTGAGCTTATTTATCGCTATTGTTATGTCAAGATAGATTCTCTCTATGCAGTGATCTCTCTCTGACTTTGATCACGCTGCCACTTGCATTCTGGCATTGCTCTCGCGCACTTAATTCTTATATCTCTAGGTGTATAACACAGTATTTTTACTGGTGGCCCCAGCACTGACTGCCTATCTGATTTCTGATATTATACAGAAAGACCTGTCACATTGCGATTTATTGAAATCTAATTTTCTATTTATATTGTAACAAAAAATAATTATACATGACAAGACTTCGCTTACTCTGATCTGCATAAAACAAACTACACTCACATTTAATCCTATATACTATACCACTCTTCTGTAGCTTAGGTGTGGGATCCTTCCCTAATCTTATAGTGTTGGTGAACTAAATGGAATTCCTAAAGATAACTCCTATTTTGTACTTGGAAAAAACAGAGCAAAAATCTTTCTCTGGATCCAAGTGTGACGAAGACATTTTTTTTCTCCACAAAGCTTAGAGCGCCATGAATTTGGTTTAATCACGATATGCGATCAAGTTTTTTTTTCTAAAGCCATTTTGTGTGTTTGGTCTGGTTTTCAGTTTTATACGAAAAAAAAAGAGACAGCTACCAGGTATAGGATGACACTGGTTACCGAGAAAACAGAAGAGAAGATCATAGAAATATAAAGCACATAGTCGAAGAGGCTCGACGAATTATAGTCTGCAAATGAATCTATATACATATTATATGAAACATGAAAGGTGTAAGGAATGAAGCTTGTAATCGCTGATATTAATTTGGAATATTAGCATTGTATTATATTTGGTATTTAAAGAAATGCGCCCTTGTAACAAGCGTTGAATTATAGCGTCGGGAAGTACGAATAGGCTAGGGTTAAGGACAAATCAGCAGCAGTCTAGATCGTATGAAAAAAAGTGAGTTTGACCGATGCCATTAGCCAATAATCTACGCAAGCCAGTGGGCCTTAGTTTATGAGAAAGGCATCCAGGCGTTTGTTAAGAGCCTTGGCGAGAAGTCACCGAGTAAGACAGAGAGAGAGAGAGAGAGAGAGAAAGAGTGTTGTGTGCCTGTGTAAGGGTCTTCCAAGAAAGAAAAAGTGACAAAGCCGCATAGTCCAGAAGATTGTCAAGGTAGAATGAATCGTTAGGGTAGAGATTTTCGAGAGCTTGTCAGTGTGTATGCAGGCTGGGAACAAAACTTTGCATAGCGTCGAATGGCACCCAGTGACCTCCAGCGTACTTGCTAATGATGCATTGATGAAATAAACAAGAACTTTTTGAAGTTATACTTCTATAGGCGCATTCTGCCCTACGCAGTAAATCAACGATTTGAGACTGGTGACCTTGAGAAAAAGCGTAACGGAAGTGGATTTTGCTTGATTCTCCCCCTTCGCCCCACCCCTCTTGACGTAGTTCCTAAAGAGATTTGAGCCGCCGTTCTTTGTCACACTGGGCGAGCCCCTTAAATCTTAAGTGTTACAGCATTGTGAGAAGTACAATTATCACTACTACGTACTGATAAGAAATTTTTTTAAATATTTCTATTTTTGACACAGATTCAATCTAAAAGAATAATATATTGTTGACAACAAAAAATAGGTTTCAGAATAAGAAATGGTCATGTTTGTAATTAAAAAGCTTTTTTAGTTTTAGTAACAGCTTAAATATAAACGCATTTTTTTTCTTTGATAAATTTTTTCAATAATTTACGTAATTCTTCGATATGATTCTTAATCAATAGTACCCAGGTGATAATTAATAATTTAATTATATTTTGTATAATACTCATATAAAGTAAACAGAACAAAAAAAGTATGTTCCCAGGCATGAAAAAATAGTACCAAACGTTAAAAGAAAAAAGTGAAAAAGGTTTTATCTTTTATTAATAGTATACATATCAAAGATCCACAGGACTTTTTTGAACCACGTTACCAGCATCACAAACGTTTCTTGATATTTGATTTAATTGGTTAAAAATATCTAAGTTTTTGGATGCAGCAACAGCCTTAAGATTGTAAGCAACACGACTGGAAGCCTGAAAATCCGTTAATCTCATGTAACTTACTTTTTAAGTTATTAACAGTTTTTATTTAAAATATTACCTCTGCACACCATACTCGAGCGATTAAAATTTCATGTTCAGCACTAGGAAGTTTTCTTTTTTTTGATAAACTGGCGCGACTAAGAACCACAGACATCGTGTACGTATCAATTGCGGCTTGCGCAAGTCTATTAAGTATAAATTGTTCATCAATTATTTTCTTACCGTATTTAGCAAGTACTGATTCAATCACTGAGCCGAAGGACTCGATGCTCTAAAAAAAAAAAAAAAAATCAGATCCATAACGGATGAACTATTCAGTTTATATGATTATTTATATGATTATTATAGCCTAAATGCAATAAATTAATAAGATATTTAAATCTATTTTGTCAGAGTCACACAGGATAAAGTTTCTAGTTCACAATTTGTAACATATAAGTTGCTAACTTGTTACAAGTCAATGATTTTGTTTGTGAAATTAAAACACTGAATTGGAATTTTTTCGTTCTAGTTTCAAATAAAAAAGTAACCATCTGTTACGAGAACTTTTTTTCAAAATCTTAGGTGAGATCTGAGGTAAAATCTTAGCTAAAGAATCAGCTGAGGTTTGGGCATGAGATCTCACCTGAGTGTCGGAGACAGGGTATTTTGTATATAGAAAAAATACTCATACCATTATTTTAGTCTGATTGCGAAATTCAAATTAATACCTTATGGAAACCTGCATGTCAATGTATTGTGAGTCAATGTCATCTGTATTGTGAAAAATTAAGTAAAGATTATTTGTTAATTTTTTTGTCAGCCATTGTAAATTGAAAATTGCGTACCATACATGACTACACTCTACTCATTAAATTCTATAATCGTCTAATTAAATTCTATAATTTGTCTACCTTAGAACAAATAGCAGCCGATTCTCCAAGACTTTCATGGACAACATGAGACAAGCTTGGTGAGCTCAGTCCAATAACTCTGGTTGCCCTCCGAGAAACTTCTTCAGCTATTAAACTCAAATTAGCAGTAGGATTTTTAAAAGCTTTTTGTAACTCTTTCAAATGACTTCCTGCATATTGAATGCCGGTTAAGGCAACGAACAGTCGGAGAATATCATTCGTCCCTTCAAAAATTCTAAATATTCTTAGATCACGTAAAATTCTTTCAAGGCCTGTTGCCTGCATGTATCCCATTCCTCCAAGAATTTGAATAGCTTCATCACAAACCCACCAAGCAGCTTCTGAAGCGAATACCTATAAAAAAATTGTTTTTTTTATTGCTTGAAATTATACATTTTTGTTTTAAAGCTGCATTTATGAAAATAATAATACTATTCTACTTTTTTTTCAGATATGCTCTCTAGACATTAAGACGATTATTTGACTGCTACTCATTTAAGTTATAAAATAATTATATTTAACTAAATTGTAACTTGTAGCATGATAATTTTAAACATAGCTAACTTAGAATGAAAAGTTTAGGCAACTGAGAAAATTTTTAGTTATAATGCTAACAGTGTAAGCAGGTAGTTTTATTGAGACTTTTGTTAATTTTGTGATAACGAAACAGCACACTCAGAAATCAAAAACATCTAAACAGACAGAAAAATAGAGATTTGTAGGCATTCGATAATTTAATGTTAATATTTATACACAATTTCAATTTTCTTAACTATGTTAGAATTAAGTATGTCAATACATGTCGTGTTTGAGGACAAAATTTACTTGTGTAGGCCAAAAATGATTAAGCTAGATATGGGTAATGAGTATAGAGACCAGCCCATAAAGACAGATATACATTTATTAGCCCCCATCGAGTTATGTGAGAGCGTGACGAGATTAGGTTGAGAAAGTAGACAAAGCGTCGGTGACCACGCCCCTACCGTTTACTTCAAATTTGCCCACTAAAAATTTTAAATATCGGAAAATAAGTATTTTTGCTGGTATGCCCCAAATATTTTGGTTAAATTCAGTTTCTTTAATCCTATTCTACAGCTTAACCTTTTTAAGAATTGTCTACCTTAACAAAGAGATCCCTCTAGGTATTTAGTTAATTAACTAAATTAATTTAAAAAATAACTATTTTATGGAAAAAAGAAGTATTGCCACTTAACTGTACCGTTTTTTTAGTTAATTAAGCCTCCATTTGGCGACATACTTTAGAGCTCAAGAAAAAGAATTAAATGACTGACAATTAGAACATGATCTTATTTTTCATTTTCTTTAACCGTGTATCATGAGTCAAAGACGTAATAAAGAATTATACTGATTGACAAATTGTTCAATAAAACAGCTTCTTACAATAAAGTATGTAACACAGTTAAAATAGTATTAACATAATTAGATCGATAAGATAGGAAACTCCAATTATTTTCTGGAATGCTCTAAATAACAAGCTATAATTATAAGCCTTATTGAACTCAGCAATTTGGGTAGTTGATAGTCATACATTACTAACCAATTTATTCAGTAGTTGTAAAATAAGAAATCGTTTGATAGAAATAATTTTTCAAGTAACTTGTGATTTGTTTTCACGGCTTTCGTACGAATTTTCGTAATAAATAATTATTTAATGTGAGAATCATTCATTTATTAAGTACTAGGAGGCTTTGCTCCCTGCACGCTCTGCGCACTAACTCCCAAAATTTTTTTAATTAAACATATTTCTAATAATCATTGAATTTAAATTAAATGATTAAATTTTAAAAATAAATTTAAGTTCAAACTAATAAAATCACCTTGATTAGCCAGCGCTTGTCTACTAAATCTTATATGTACATTTAAATGTACCGCCTTTTGTCAGTCACGACCAATCAGATCACGACGTATTCTATTGACAGTCACGTGACACTCATTTTTTTAGGAGAGGAACAGTATTTAAGAATGTCTCAATTCCATGAATACGTATGTTCAACATCAAATTAGTATTACAAACATTAACTATATAGAATTTATATATTCGCGCGCTAGCAATTAACTTTAGTATTTTGTAACCAATAGCGTGCGTAAAATGGTCCTGCGGAACCACCAATCATAGCGCTCCACGTTTAAGTTACTTTGGCTGCTCCCGACTGCTCGCCTATGAGCATTTAGTCAGTCCGCACTGATCGCTCGTCCAGTGAACCACAGTGTGGTCACTGTGTACACTAACAAAGTAGACATTTTCTCGAGTAAATCATTTTAAATAGAAAAAGAAAATGTCTTGTTTAATTTACTCGCGTGACTTAAACAACATCATTTTTAGTTAATTATATTAGTAAAATAACTGTTCTTCAACTTCGTTCAATATCCCTAAACTAGCGCACATAAAACGTAACTTTGTTATTTACCACAGTTTTTCAATTTTTTTTCTCATCAAGTGTTGTAATTCCTGCTGTTAATATACTTTATTATTTGTTATGTATATAAAAAGGTGTGAGTATTAATCATTCAATAAAACCAAGCAATTTGGCTCCCACTCTTTTCCCTCGCAACCGGGAAATCAAATCATACAGTCCACAATCATTGGAATCGTATAAAGATAATGATAAAAGCTATTTGAATAAATGACACTGTCGGAAATTTCGATGTGTATAATTACTAAGTATTTTATCTGAAATTATTAATAGTGACATTGAAACAGTGATTTGATTTATCTAATTAGCTCAAAGAAAAAATTGCTGAAAATTATACGATAAAGTAATTTAATTAAAGAAAGAAACATAAAGAATATTATACATAAAAAACTTGAAACTGTTTTTTATTAAGGAAATTTATTTTATCCGGTAAAATTATAAACTATTTGAACAAACTAACCTTTGCACATAATCGTATTTGAGCACGTCCATGTGTGATCAGCCACTCAGCGCTCGCAGCACCTTTTTTCAATAGAACGCGCTCTGTTAAACTCGCTCACAAGCGTTGGAAAATAGCTAGAAAAAAAATGTAAAGACATGAATTGATAGATTTTGATCTGTATTTTCTGAGGACCACCCTTTTTTTGCTAAAAAATTTTTTTCAGCTGCGAAATCAAGTTTTAAGTTTAGGTCAATTTTTCTTAACATATGTAGATCGATCAAACGAGCAACTCATGAACTACATCTCCTCCAATTTTCAGAGTAGGAGAGAAGCTAAGGGGTAAAAATAGTGAGTAAATTAATACTTAGGAGCGTGGCCTCACGTGCTGCTGCATACTAGGAGCGGACTAGCCACTCTAGCTCCCGTACGATACTCTTTTTTATACTCGCTCGTAATCGAAGGAAGCAAGTTAAGAAAATATTATAACATGTAAACTTACAGATTTGAACTAATTTATTCGACAGTTTGTTTGTTTTTTTAACTCTAACTCTATTTTTTTAGAAGAAAATTGAACTGCAGTTGAAGCGTCATATTTCCTAAAATACATTTTTTTAACATTAATTATAATTTTACCTTTAAAACCTAAAAATTATGAAAGAATAATATTAAGTAACAAGTAAAACGTGAACTCAAAACTATTTTATCTCTTTTATTTTTCACACTTTTCGCTGTTAATGCAAGGAACAGATTTTTTGACAATTTTAGATTTTTTATTAGATGTGTTGTTTCACAGCTTTTCTTTTTAATTTATTTTTTGTTTGTGATTCAATTTCGGCTGACCTACTTTTTTTTTTATGTCTGCTCCAGATGTAATAATTTCGAAGCAGAAAATTCTTTTATTTGAGCTGGTTTGTTCCTTCCATCGATATCTTCTTTAAAACTGTAGCGATGGTAACTATGATTAACTCATATTTAATATACCACTTAATTAAAGGTTATGCTGGGATAAAATAACGAAAAAAAAGAACAAAACGTAATAAGAATTATCATCAAACAGATTAAAACGATATTTACAAATCAAAGTAAATATAATACGAGCAAACTTGTCAAGAAACTACAGATAACAATAACAGCAACAGGTATTCGTAAGAATATAATTATACTATAGAGTGTGAGGCACCTCTATCGTCGTATAGCTGATAAAAAAAAAAAAACATGTATTTTAGTGCCAATTTTTTAAATTTAACTCTAAAATTACAAACTTTTTTTCTACTCCAAAAAAAATATAGCGAAAAGAAACAAACTATCAAAAAAAGTAGCTTAAATCGATAGGTTTACATATGATAACGTTTTTTAAGCTTGCTTACTTCGATTGTAAGCGAGTATGAAAAAATGCATTACATAGCAGCCACAGTGGCTAGTCCGCTCCATGTGCTCGGCAGCTCGCGAAACCACGAACTATAATTTACTCACTATTTCTATACCTTTAGCTTCTCTCCCACTTTGAAAATTGGAGGAGATATATTTTATGAGTTACTTGTTTGATTGATCTATATATATGTAAATATGTATATATATATATATATATATATCTTTATAAATCGTTACTTATGTGGACATTATTATGTAAATAAAGTTATTATGAGGACAAAATCGTACTTATGCGGACTGTCCTCATAACTTTTCAATGTTATTAGTATGTATTCTAAAAGCACGTTAAGTCCTTATGAGTCACCTTATATATATACACATAAAAGTAATCTGATTCAAGGTAAGAAGTGGATTATGATAAATCAAATACTTCAAATATTTTCAAAAAGTATTTACTTAGTATCCTCCTATTCTTCTAATCTTATATGTCGAAATTCATTAGAAATAATCTGAAATATGCGAATTAGTATTATAACCATAAAACATAGTATAATGTGCAAAACAAAAGAAATAATGGTAGGATTTATTACAATTATAGTGGACTAATGTATATGTATTCACAATTTTTGTGTACTTCTGTGCACAAAAAGGCCCTTTTTGTCTTTTTATTTTCTTACGTTGTCTAAGTTACAGAATTTTCTTTATTTTCTTGTTGTTCGATAGTTAATCTATTTAATACTTCGAGATTTGTTATGACACCAGTTTCAAAACATAATCTGTAGTGCCAATCTACTATAATAAACTTTACTATGCTGACACTATCTTATATGGGGCAAGTTTTCTGCATACTTCGTTGTGTTTTACATAGATGGCTATGCACTTCAATATTTGCCTTATATATGACATTTTCACACAAAGAATGGATTATCATTTCCGATTTTCCACGATTATCATGTTCTAAATATTAGACTCCATGAATTCAAGGGCTCTCACATTTGACTCTTTATTAAAATATGTAGCGAACACTATGTTCATAGTCTTTCCGTCGTTTTGTTTATTATCTAATGAATGGTATCTGATGTCGTTAAACAGGCAGTTTCTTTTTT